TCATATAAAATATATATGTATTTAAATTTAAATGTGCACCGATATTAGTTCCTTATCTTACCATCAGATTCGAAGGCATGACCGTGGTGTACAGACCATTTTCCCTATTACGTAATGTAACGAGCATGGAGTGAACCTAGTTACAAATAAAATGTACACATAGAATACGCTCTAAAAATAAATACTACTAAATTCCCATATTTAGTGTACCGTACACGTGGGTGCAAAAATATTCGTACTGTTTAAAGATCTATAGCAGAGCTGGTCAGACCTATCTTGTATTAGTTACTTTAATATTATTATTATTATTTTATTTTTATTTCAAGTCTAAAAGTCTTGTGGTTTGTGCACATTGTACAATCATCGATCAATTTACACGATTCAAACATAAAAACGGACACCTTACTTATTTTAATGTGTAAGATACACGCTTGAAATTCTCCACGCTTATACACCATAATTTATAGGTAGATGTAAAAATCGATGATACTATCTTGATGGTAATATTCGTATAATAGGATGCAGTACTCCTTATCGTGGTAACCAAAATAAAAGTAATTTACAATAGATTCGGTGTACACTCATCTTACGCTTCAAGAATAATACATCCGTATAATACCTGTTAAATAATACGTTAAGTCTTTACGCCAATTTATATAGTACGATTTATATGTAGTAGGGTAGTTTATAAAAAACGATAGCAATCATTATATTATTTTAATCAATGATTTCTAAATTAGGAAACAGATTTAGTTTATTTTTTAATCGTTCGTGTGATGTTGACTATGCTATTCTATCCATCTGTTTTCATCTTATGGTTTAAACTAATCTATTAAAACACGTATTAAAATCTATGAATTGATACGATTGAATAATATGAAAATTCAGATGAATTGAATTAATCTGATGTATCACAAGAAAAAATCTATCATAAGTCCTCATCTTTCAGAAAAAGGTCAATCAACATATTGATTGAAATAATAAAAGTAAGATTTTTTTTGATTTTTTAACATAACCCAAATACATAATTTGTATCTGGTTACCATTTTTAGAGTAACTTGCTCAGTTCTGATTCATAGTTCGGTAAGTATTCGTCATTATGCAGTGCAACATACGAGTGATACATACACTACAGTAGTGAAGATAAGCGCAATACGAAAATACTTTCCAAGTATATTGATCTTTTTACGAAAAAAAAAACACTGCATTGCATTCGTGTTAAGCACAGTGTTGTACAGGATACAGAGAAGATGAAGGAGATGAATTCCATTGTTTAAGTTTCGAGAGGCTGATCAGTATAATTATAATAATATATACTTACTAAAATTGTAATGAATGAAAATCGTTGCTAGGTAACAATGTATGTAGTCTCGATGAGTCTTCGCATTAAGTGTAGTGCTTGATAATAAGTTTTGGTTATGAGTTACTAGGCTACTACTACGCTATTTGTAATGATGTATTGTGTTAAATCTTATATATTGTATCGGGCAGTAAACAAATATCAAAAGTTCAGTTACCTCTACGAATTTGTATGCTTTATAGTAGTAACATTGTTGTGTGTTTAAAAATTGAAAAATTACTACTAGGTGTACAGTTTGCTATTGTCTCTTTATATTTTTATAAAATTGTATTAATATTATTAATATTAATATATAAAAAAAATACTACGTTCGATCAACTTTAATATTCGGAGGGTTCTTCTTTATTCCCGTGTATGTATATTTACACATAATTTGTTATGTTTAAAGTTAACAATAGCATATGTTAATAGACTACGATTACGTAATCCATATAATCACGAAGTATAGCAGCTAAAAAACCATACTCTACTGGTCAGGCAATCATCACTTTTACCGTTTATGTATTTTGGATTTTAAATTATCTGTGTAATTATGGTGACTGATAACGGTAATTGTCAGTATAGATTTCCATCGTTCGCAGTAGTATAATAATAATAAACCTCAACAGCATTTACTCGGCTTTTGGTCAGCAAGGAAAATCTTTAGAACAATTCGCGCAAGACATCAATACCATGATTTTAAACACGTTTTAAAAATTAAGTATAGTATTTCGGAAAAACGAAACACGGTTGGAAAACACTTTTGACGGAATCAGAACTAATTACGTGTACGCTCGTGCTGTATACGTATAAATATATATTTTTGTATATTACACTAAACGCTAGAGAAATTGTAACGTTTAATTAAACAAACTATTTCCATAAGATTCTGTACAATGTAATAAAATCATATAAGAGCTTACGAAATAGTATACATGTATACGTATCCGGTAAATATCCTAAGCTACCAGAAGAATATTGTTATTTTTTTATTTTTGTTTTTTTTGTGTCGTAGGTATTTTCATTTCATAAATTCGAGCAAAAATAAATATTCGGATTATGTAAACACTGCGGGAACGTAAGCTCTCAAGATGTAAGAATGGTAAACATGAATGAAAATAAAATTATGATCTTCCGAAATGTCTTTTACTTAACTTTTTTTATTATACATAACTTCGAGATAATTTCACTTTGTTGAGTTTTTTCGTACGTCAAACAATTTTGTACCTTTACTATATTGACATTTTTGAACGTGTACAAAATATTCGTGTACATGAAATCCATAATAAAAAAAATTTGCCTTTCCCAGCGAATCCGAAACACCGTTAATATTATTATTGATGTTGTCGGGATATTAATTTCGAAATAACTGCAACTGTATCCACGTAGTAACACGGGTTGTTGCTCGTTAAACAACGAAATCGGTTAGTGCTTCCGGAAAAGATATTATCGATTGAAAACCAAACGATTTCGGCCGTTCGGTCGGACATCGCGTCCGATCTGAGCGCCGTGAACACGGTCGCGTTCTCGTGAAACGGTAAACGACGGACGCGTGTCCAAAGGACATACGATAACGCGAGCAGTTCGCGTTCACCCCGAACGAGCATCGCGACACGACACCGATTGTAAAAAAACGATTTGCCCGTACGTGTTGTGTACGTATTATTAATAACAACGTATTCTACTATTTTTTACGGCGTCGCATCGAGCTGTACACGCATGTCGACGGATCGAACGGCAGCGACCCGATCACATCCGACACGATCAGTGCGTCGACTACGACGATTCGCGCGCAAATAAAGCGAATGCTGCCCCGAAGACCGAACTCCGCAGATAAACCGTACCTTCGGTTGTAACCGAACCGTTTTCGATCGTTCGGGTGGCGAAAAAAAACGTTGACAGCGTACGGGTAACGTGCGCGAAACAAAATCGATCGGCATTGCCTCCGTTAATAATAGTAGTGGTTGCAAAACGGTTTTTTTTCCTATCTTATTGCCATCCACGTGTTTTTCAAATATTATCGCCGGGGGCCTGTTGCGGCCTGCCACGTACTCGCCACACATCCGGTCATTGCGGCACTGGACGTGGTTACGTATGATGTGTACGAGTACGCGTGAACGTGCGAGGGATGATTTTTCGAGGATATACGTTATAACTGAAAACTTTCCGGTCCCTTTTTGCGCGTGCTCGTGTGTGTGTGCTTTTATAATAAACCGTTTTCTGTCCGTCGTACGAGGATCGTGTTTATCAAACATTACGAGGCGGTCGCGGTGAAATTGGAGCGCCGCCGCCTAATGCGGTCGACCCTCGAAAGTACGACGGGTCCTATAAAACGACGCTTTATCCCGCCGCGCGTATGTCCACAAGAATGTTTTTGTTTGTTTTGGATCCCCGTGCACCACCGCTGTGCATTATATTATATACGTACAAGTTTTCGAAAGAAATTCCTCTAAACGTGTCTGCATAATATTCATATACATACGTATAATATTATATGTATACACGTCTGTGTGTGTCTGTGTATGTTCAACCCCGTTTAAAACGCAGACGAGATGTTTTTTTTTACGTTATTACTCTTATTATTATTATTATTATTATTATTATTATTATTATTGTTGTTGCTGTTGTTTTCGTTGTTGTTGTTGTAGTCTGCGAACGTACATTCCGTATAGACCGGCCAACGCGCGAAAGGGGTCCGCCGATAAAACGTGTACTACTACGCGATGTGGGCGCATAATGTATTATTGCAGTATTCATAATGCACGGGATTGCCGGCGTTCGAGATTTTTTCCACGACCCGTCCACGAGTGCGTGTATGATTGAATACGCAGTGGCAGCATACGTCAGTGGTTCTCTTTATCATTTATTTTTTCAATTATAATTTTACATCTGTCTTTTATGAATGTTTCAAGTTCTTAAACTACCGTTGTACGACTTAATGTACGTGCATTTCGTCAGCAATGTTATTGCATTCAGTAGACGTAATTCTCTTGCATAGAATAAATTCTTAACACGTCACCGATTTAACGTGTCCTCCGTTCGATTCAACGGTGCAATACTCAACATCCACTTAGGTACGTATGGAAAACGATATTAAATGTTAATACTACGCTCAAGCGATCCTTTTTTACCGCCAAACCCAATCGATCCACGACACATGCACATATATCACACGGATATAAATAGGTACACGTGTTACGGGAGGAGGGGAAAAATGAACCGTACACTTAACGTGGTGCCAGTTATTCCACGTTAATATAAAATACGATTTTTTTCGTACAGGAAACCGCTGCGTTGCCATTGTGTTGGGGTCGGAATCCGTCAGGTAGCTGTTTAAAATGAGAAAGAGCGCACTCGCACACACATACACACAATACCGTTTTTACATAACATCGGATCGTCGTCGAACAAACGCGGAATACCGGGGGACCGTAGATAAAGGGTTAATGTTGGAAATTTCCGAAAGGCCGACAGGAGTACCGAGGGAGAAGGGGTTGACATACATGAGAAAAAAGGTACCTTTTGTGTTGAGCCAGCACAGATGTGTCAGTAGGTTTAAAGTATATATATATATATATATATATATATTATAAATATAAAGTAAAATAAAAAACCCACTATGTTTGGGGAAGTAATTTTTTTAGAGGAAGGGTTAATCCAGGTACGTAGTGCGTAAGACCTGTTTGTATGTGGTAGTAGTTGATCGCCGGCCGTGTACATATGATAATCGCGTACGCAAAACACTGCACGGAACTATTTCGGAAATACGAGGAAGTCGACGCGAACGAGGAAGTGTGATCAGAAATGGGTGAGTACCTTTCGATATTACACATCATTGTAACAATATTTTTGCGTATTAAAACTAAATAACGTCTCGTCGCGCTGAAAAATTGGTTTTTTTTTTTTTACGCGCCCATAGCGTCGTGCATAATCATAATTATTTCATCAACAAAAACAGTTCGTCATTAAAAAATTGAGTTGCCAATCTTTGTTTATAAGGTTGAGCGATAAAACTGTATTGCGTGAGACGCGTAAAACGTTGCACCGATATATTACAATTTACGGATAGATTCTAGTACGCCTTGTCTTGTTATACAATTTAATTGATCCGTCTGTTTATTAAAACTTTGTCTTGTGCAAAACGTAACTTTTATAGCAGATAACATAATATCAAGTACAAACAACGATTATTGTTGCACGAATACATAAAAGTTTATGAATGCCGATGAAATCCTCCCCAGTTTCGTTCATGCACTGATGATTATACGAAAAAATTATTTTTCCATAATTGAAGTCGACAATTTTGAAGAAGTACCGCCATCCCCGTCTTGTACATTATTCTTCAATCCATCTCGATGATAATTATTGTTGTATCAATCTCATATATTCAAGTGTTTCCGATAGAAATTATTATTAATTATTACCGTCTACATTCATTGTGTTAATGAATACCTATACTTATTACTAACCCACGGTTGTTTTTAACCTTGATAATAAAACACAACCACTTTTGACAGATTCGTTCGTTGAATAAATGAAAACATGACAATTTTATATTTTAATTTATACTTGTAAAGCTCCTGGAAGTATCACATAAAATACATTTTAATTCACTTGTAGAAAATTATTTATTGTTTAATACGTAGAATTTTCTCATACGTAAATACGGCGTTTTCTCGATCTATATCGCGATTAAAAATTACATTGTGATCCTATTGGATCATTATTTTCTCAATACTTGGAGACTATTTATCGAATGTCTATAATTCGTTTTTTAAATAATAGCATGAATATAATATGCAAGTATAAAAAACTGGATTTTTTTATTAAATATAAAAATAAAATGAGCAACAATAGATATCTGTAAATGTATATATATTCGATAATTGTATTATAATGCGATGGAGTATAATCAGCATAACGAGAATATATTTTTATTGAGATGGTTCAAATAAAATTAAAATACTTTACAGTAAGCTTTTATAAAAAAAATGCAAAACGGATTTAACTTCATGACGGTTATAGATAGGAACTCGAACACGATTTACCAATGAATATAAGTGTACATAAAATAGTTATATTTCTTGTATTCTCTTGCTTGATTTAGTAATTATGTATTATGTATTTCGTTTAAATAGACTGTATATGTAGTACTTACATGAATAGATTTATTAAAACAGTTAAACAATTATTAGACTATTAGAATTTATTATACCGAATAAAATTATTTATTAAACTACAATACCTAAGAAATTAAAAAATAAATTATCAGGCGTGTTAAAATGTCTAGACAAAGTAAAATTAAAAAAATGTTGCGTACAACATGTTACTAATTTCGAACAAATATGATATTTTGATCAAATAAATTCTTTAATGTGTACAGTGGTTATATTGTGCTGAAGTTATTTTACATTAATCACCACATATGGCTATTATAGATGTCAAATGCAGATGTTTGCGAAATAAAACTTGTCAAAATAGTTTGGCGATTAGGTATTGCAAAACAAATACAGTGGGAAAATAGACGAGGATAAAATGTATATAGATCAAAATATCGGACTGTGTACACAGTATAATGCGAAAAAAGGTCAGAGTGAAACAACTATACGAAACGAGATAAATTCTAATGTGTTAACCGTGAAACACGTGTTCAGAAAAAAAAAAAGTGGTCGAAGCGTTGATAAAAATGTATTAAAAATCGAACGTACAACTGGATGTTTTTATCAATGAATACAATAGAAAATCAATGACGGATTTTCTTTATTTTGTCTAACTTTTTAAAAACTTTTATAACCCTAAACATTAAATGACAGCTATCACAGCATGCAAATATTTGAACAATTTTTTACGGAAAAAGTTTAAAAAAACATAAAATAATAACTGTAAGATCATTAAAAAAAAAAAATTCAATAAAATTATATTTTAAAATTGTTTAATTATATATTGGTATATATTGTGTTGATTTTTTTTTTCAATAATGTTACAATTATTATTTTTATTATTTTACGTATTTTTTTAACTTTTTCCGTAAAAAAATTGTTCAATTATACACATGCTGTGGTAGCTGTCAATTTACATTTAGAGTTATACACATTTCTTTTTTACGTTTTATGTTAGATATATATATATACTCGTATAATTAATTAATCTACATAATTAAAATAATATAATATATTGTATAGTAATAATCAGTTTTATATGATTCACATAAATTATAGAATCCGAAAAATTCCGATTCGATAAAAATTATACATAGACGTATAGACACATGTTTGTGGTCGTTGAACTTTGCGTGATCGAAGTAAATTGTAAATAAAATTAAAATATTTCTTTAACGTTTAACGGCTGGTACGAATTATTATCTTATAAAGCGGACGTTGTCGAAACACCCTAATCAAACCGACGGAAAAAATATATTGCACTACATTATACTACTGTTTATGCATAGTACATCCCACGTTTTGGGAAAATTTTTCGCAATAATTTTCTTTTTTTCTAACGTTGAATTCCGATGGTATCATGAACCGTTTTATGTGATTCAAGCACGTCGTTGCTTTTGGTTTTAGTTTCACGTGACATGACCGTGACACCATGGCGCCCGCAGGAAATTTATCAGGGGGGGGGGCATAATGAAATCAAACACAAAAAAAAAAACATTAAAAAATGTTTATTCCTTGTAAACTACAAATTGTGTTAGAATTATATGAAATCCAACACCAAAAAGAACATTAAAAATATATTCCTTACAACCTAAAAAAATTAGTTAAATAAAAACTGAAGCTATGTGTGCGTGGTGCGTCGATCGTCATAAGTAGTTTACACAATAGGCGATTTATATCAATTCACAGAATTGAAACGTATTTAATTTTGCGCGATTAATGTAATACGCATTGTTTTGTAGGTACGCCTTATAATATATTGTTATCACGATCAACAACACCACACGGCACACACTAAAGTAAAAATATCGATAAAATGTTGATAGATCAAAATAAAAGTTAAAATATTCAACATTCTATTGAATTGCAGGGGCGGGGGGCAAATGCCCCCTCTTGCCCCCCCCACCGGGAGCCCATGCGTGACACTGTATCACGCACAGGGCGTCAGGGGAGGATGTCGAATTGGGGAACAGAGTCGATCCGAAACGAATGGTTCATATTTTCGGACGAATGTGCACCGGCAGCAGTACCCGCGGTAAGATCCCGTCCGCGTACGAAGAATACCATCGTTTCAAGCGAAACTTCCACGGCACCGTGACGTGGGCGGAGCGGATTTCGTTTTAATTTTTCGCGCTCGCACACCCGGCACGACCAGACGAGCGCACATCGAGTCGGTTCGGCGGACCCGACGGTTCGGGTGTAAAACTATTATGAACACCGAAGGAAAACTAGCGCGACCGCAGACGGGGGCGCACGTCACGCGCGCGGTTTTCCTAACCGGGAAAACCGCACCGGCGGGGAGCAAGCACGTATTATACACAACGTTTTCGAAACTTGAATAATAATTTATGTTGAACGAGTTTGGCACGTTAAGAGCTGCCAACTCCACACTTACCGGTGCCCACCGTTCGAGATCCGCGCGGTGAGCGTGTGCCGTACGCGTACGCTAAAACAGCCGAAACAATTTTCCGGAAGCTTTTCCACCCCTGTAGAGCTCTGCGTCTTTTCCGCGTGCGGACCCAATCGTTTCCGAAGCACAGCCCCCGGTAAACGGATCGGCAACGAAAATAAAAACCGCAACGACTCGACGCGCGACCGTAACACTAGACGGCAGTCAGCAGCGGTGGTGGTGAAATCGACTTTTATTTTATTTTTTTTTTTTTTTTTTTTGTTTGGTTTCGGGTTTGCGTGTGGCGATTCGTACGCATTCGTTTTGAGAGAGAGAGAGAGAGAGAGAGAGATGTTCGGCTCACGGGGAAAATATTTCGTTTTACACGCTTACGTCTTACTGGTTTACGTTTTTAACTAGGTATTACCCCCACTTAGCTAACAGAGAGAAACACTTTACCGTTGTTCACTCGATCAGACGTACACGAGACTTCCGACACACGTGCACGCGTATAGCTGAAAAACGATTTGTTTCCGCGTATAATGTATGTTTATACCCGTATATATATATATACTATTATTTTTTTTTTTTTTGGTGTTTTTAGTTTTTTATTATACGCCGACGAGTGTTACACAACCGATGTGCCGTTTTTTTGTTGTTATTATTATACGCTCAAATATATGTATATACGTTTTTTGGCATTTCGAACAATAACGGCGCAGGCGGCGGGCGGACGAACGTATACATAAAAGTTGTGAGGGCGATGGGTCATTAGAGAGGGTCCCGTTCGCCAAAACAACCAATAGGGTCCTAATCCCTGCAGCCATGTTGTTGGTCAGTGCCAATTTTTCTATGCCCATTTTTGGGGTGTACGTGCTCGTTTTCCACCCCCGTGAAATAACATCATCGCCCGGACTCCATTATTGCGTTTCTGCTGCTGGTATAATAAGTTAGGTGCATTGGGGTTTGTTTTTATAGGGAAAGTTCGCTGAATAATACATTAGGCTTGCAAATTATAAACGGGTATTTTTCGACGCAATGAGTTGCATAGGATTACGTACACACGAGGAAGGATTCCGAAAGATATTTTTTCATTTATTTCGAAAATAGCGGAAAGAAAAATATTAATATTCTTTAATTTTCCGTGAAAGGGAATTCATATAATATATTGCGCCGACAAGATTTTCGACATCGTACGCAACGACATAGACAACATGACATCGCGTTGAGTATAATAAAGTTTTTAGGAAAAGGATATAA